TCATTTATTATTATTTATAGAAAAAAAAGGGGGGGGGGGGCAATGTGTGACCACTTTCTGAAGAATTCCTCACAGCTGTCAATCAATGGATCTGTTGCTATAAGAGTCCTCTAAGTATACCCTCTCCTATAAAAGACAATATCTAGGATTTAAGAAACATTGAACTACATTTGTTTTGTGTTATCTGCTAGATTTGCTTCAGAGAAATAAAGCTGTGTCTAGAAGCTGATGAGATAATATTCTACTCAACGTACAAATAGTTGTCTTACGTTTTGTGATACTCCTGGAAGGAGAAAGCAAGCAGAATTTGGGCCTCAGTGATTTTTGCTGCTGTTCCTAAAAGAATATTGCTACACCTACACCATTTAATTCTAAAACAATAGTAGCATAATTAACTAAAGTATATAAATAACTACTACTCTTCAGACCAAGCTACATTAAAATATGAGTCATTGCTCCATTCATAGGAGGCTATAGAATTCCATCAAAACCTAAAGTTACTGCAGTGCAGTGCTGCTGCAGTCAAAAATTAAAATAAAAAGTAGCTTTCTTTTTGTAATGAGCCTAGTAATAATTTAACTCAAAGTATGACTAGAAACATTGTTTTTACTTTAATAAATTAAACAGACAATTTGACATAGAAAGCATAATTGTACAACAACTGCAATTAAGATTTAGAAATATTACTTGAATACATATTTATCTTTGGTTCTTAAACTGTCTTTGGCAAAATATGCAGCAGTTTGCTTTACTTCAAAAGGGCATGTCTACATTAGATGTTGACTGCACAGTAGCTCGATACTACTACGAAGTAGGGTCGCATGGCAAAAAACATGCCGAGATGCTACTGCACAATAGTATTAGGCTACTGTGGAGTCGCATCACCTAAAAGGCATTTGCTGGCAGTACTGAGTAGTAACTCTGGTTACTGTGCATTTATTTAATACTTGCTTAAACAAATACTAAATAAATGCAGAGTAACTACTGGGCAGTAGTATCTCATAGAGAGGTGTCCAGGGAGAACTATCTTGCTCTTCAGTAGGGGAGATGGCTGGTGAAATGAAAAAGTAGAGATAGAATTTTCTGATATAATTACTTTTCACTAGAATACATTATTGCTGATCATTTTGAAGGAGAAAACTGCACTGTGTAACAATCAAATGTAAACTAGGTAATTCATTATAAAGTATTTTGAATGATTTCATATAATAGAATTCTATTGACAGTGCTGCTTTTTAAAACTTCACAAATCCTTCACATTGGTATATGAATCATGGATAAAATTGTACTGAAGTCTGATGTCCATGAAAAAAGCTGGTTTGTTATTCAAAAGAAACTGCATTTAAAAATTATCTTGATATTTTCTTTGAAATTAAAATATATTTCCCACTGAAATGTTATCACAATTGCCCATCACTAGCAAAGTCAGCTGTAAATTCAACTCTTTCCGTTAAAATGTACAAGGCTTGGTACTCACCAGGTGTGAAATTATATCGAGCAGAAAATCCCATTGATTCCAGCTCACCATCAGCAAAAAATTTAATCCATAGAAATCTGCCACTGGATTTTATCATAGGTGGATTTTGCTGTCCACAAAAACGTCCAATAATTGGGGAAAAGCCAAAAGGTCCATCTCTTACTTCAATATGATCAAACTTGCACTCCCAAGAAGGCTCTATGGAATATTTTTCATCAAAATTTAGCTCAATACATTGTCTAGGAGCAGCTAGAACAGAAACAAAAATGTGTTTAATTACTACTTTATGATTTAGTCTACTTGCAAACTTTAGATAAACAAGCATATATTCCATTTTCCTGTACATCATAACATTTTGCTAGACAAATACTACTGTTCTATATTTCAAATTATATCTTCTGTATCCTAACTCAATTTCACCTCATTAACTGACGTCTTTTCTACTCCAAGTAAAAGGCATTTGTGAAACTCTTTCTTAAGCAAGTTAAGTCATCTATGTTGTAAAGCAAAAATGTGGTTTAGCAATGGTTGATTCAGATACAAAACTTCTGAAGGAATCTAATTAATAGGGGAAACCATTTCTTTTCAAATATTTTGAGGGATTTTAATGAGAATGTAATATTTCCTGGTGCTTATAAAGATAAGAAATTATCTGTTCAGGAGTAGAGTACTGCACTGAGGACAAATTCTGTCCCCAGACACACTGAAGTCAATGACAGGCCTATGCATAAATCCTATTTCAGCATAAATTATTTACCATCTCATTTGAAACCTAAGATAAAGTACAGTGAAATGTCACTTAAGAAATCAGCCAAGGAGGAAGTAAAAGTTTGTTACCTTAGCTAAAGATCAGACACTATTCAACTGGAAATGTGAACGATGCTTTAAATTAATCACTTAATTAAATGGTTGGCTATAAAAAAAGATCTTTAGTTAATCCAGATGTAGATTATAAAGTCAGTGAGTATCGTTGTGATTATTGAGCTTGATTTCTTGCATAACAGAGGCTGAAGAATTCTGCTTAGTGGCTGCATCTACGCGAGACAATTACTATGCAGTAGCTTGTTACTACTGCACAATAGCATCGCCAGACATGAACCATGACGCAGCACTGCTGCACAGGGGTAGCAAGCATCACTAGGCAGCCATACCAGGATACTACTATGGAGAAATGCTGGTTACTGTGCAGTCAGCATCTCATGTAGATGTGGCCACTAAGTCCTACCTGAAGTCTGATAACTTGTGGTTGAACTACAGAATCTAATTTTGATCAAAGATCGCAAGTGAGGGAATATCCACTTAGCAGAGGTGTCTAACAATTAAATACCTTCACTGGTAAGAAACGGGTCTTTAATTTTCAAATACTGGATCATGCTATACTTTTACTGTAGAGATCTTTCTGAGATCACCTTATATGCCTAATAAGGTGGAACAGGCTTTGACCCTTATTGCATAATATTAGTAGATTAATGTAATATAGACAACTACACAGGGGGTCGGAACATTCTTTATAACTCTTAATCTTTGTTAGCTTTTCATCTATGCACAGGTGCAACAAAATGTCAAAACCCAAATGCTGTTCAATTTTCTATATAACCAATAGAGAGAGAGAAAGAGAGGGAGGGAGGGAGAGCAGGAGTGGACCTGGGTTACATAATTTCTGAGGCATTTTAGAAGGCAAGCTTTGGAGGAAGACGCATTAGTCACCTAAGAACACGGGCTAATTAAAACATGCTAAATTATCACAGTATGGAACTTATGGATATTAAAAGTAATATCCAATAGGAATCACTTCTGATTAGAGACTCAAAATCTATAAATTTACAGTTCTTAAAAATGAAAATAATTTGTCAATATGAGAATTACCAATTTAGAAAAAGGGAAGTTATTAAAGGAGATAATTCTAATGCTACCATTATAAAGTCTGAAGACAAGAGAAATCTGGTAAGTAATAGTGATACACTGAATAAGTGGAAGATATTTTTGGCTAATGTTTTTGATTGACTTTACATATTTACAAGAAATACAGTTATAAAGCAAAACTTTTGAATATTAAAGGAGTTGATGGTGATTTACACTCTGAGATTTGGACTGTATTTAGTACACTAACATTGTATTTAATCCTAGGTCTTTGAAGGGTGACTCACTAGTCACATACAAGTTGAAATACCAGGCCTTTGTGTTTTTTAAGACAATATGCCCATAATTCATACTAAAAATGGTTAACCATGACTTGAACATCTTCTATCCCTATTACTGATATACAGATATGTTAAGCTGCTGGCAACTTTAGTAAAAAATTGCAACATAAACTGTTAGTTTATATACAGCCATATGCTGACACCTTCACTCCTCTTCAGCAACATGAATGACTGGCCACTGACGTCAATGGAAACAAAGAAAAATGTGTGTCTCTGTACCTTGCCCTTTTACTTTTAGGTACATAAAAGTAGTTTTATATGTTTATTTTTAATTACATTCTCTGTCTTCTTAAAACCTATCCCTTTTCCTCAGCAATACATTCTTTGAGAAATGTTACCAGTGATGATGTGTAGTCAAATAAATGCTTAACCAAACTTTCCTTGATTTCAAAGTTTTAATGTGTTTGTGATAAATAGAGAAAGGCCTATTTCTGACTTACACCAAGTATATATATTAGTATACACTACTAGATATTTTTGTGTCACTGAGAAGCAGCGGTGTGCGAAACAGGCTGAATTTGATTTGGATTCAGATTCTGATTTGGTCCGTGACAGAGACAGTGATTCAATTCATTGATTCGGATCACTGTCCCCAATTCGATGTGTCCAAATCTGAAGATTCAATGCTGACTCGGAGAATCAGAGATTTGGCCACAGTCACAACTTTATATGTTTTTTCTACGTACCTCACATGGCTTGTGAAGGCTGAGATTCTGGGGTGGATGGAGCATCCCACAGGAGCGCAGGGGGGCTCACCACATGCTTTGTGGAGAACTTGGAAGACTGGAAGTACTTCTGGTCCACTTCCAGGTCTGCCACTGGGAGCAATCAGCCATGGGGGGACCCGGAGAGCCCCCCCACACACCCAGAAGGCACCATTTGCTGAGGTGGAGAGGCATGGGGTGGGAGGGAGGAGAAAACGCTCCCTGGCAGACCCGGAAGTGGACTGGAAGTGCTTCTGATCCACTTCCAGGTCTGCTGCTAAGGCATCACAGCATTCATGAGCTGCCTGGTACCTCAAGGTATGTAAAAAAACATTTAAAGTTAAGTCTATGTCAGAATCTAAGAATCTTTCTGAATCTCTCCAAATTGATTCAGAGAGTACTGATTTGATTCAGAGAGATTAAGGGTATCATGATTCAATTTGGAATCAGAGATTCAGCCACTGAATTGGGCTGAATCTTTGCTGAATCAAATCAGCCCTACTGAGGAGTCTTAACATCAATTACATTGCCAGAAGTATGTAAAAGGAGTCCTGCTGTGACTGAGAATCAGCCTTGCCACTTTAACTCACACTAAATTCAATGGACTTCAGTGTAAACCCTACTTAAATAGGAACTAGAAACTTTACAACTTGCTACACATGGTGTAGCAAAACACCCAGTTTTCCATTTTTTTTTTTAATTTTAAAATGCATTCTCTCCCCTTTCCCAACCATTTCTGACTTTTCTCTCCCTCTCTATTCCCTATAGATAAGTATAAGTGAGCTAAGACATAGGATAAGCTTCAGCATGTTATTTTGGTCACAAGTTGTATTTGGTTTTTTTTCTTCTTCTTTATACTGTATAATTATTATGTTTATATTGATTTTTACTGTTCTATATTACTGTTTTACTGATACTATATGATTTAGGCCTACATATGTAAGTTAGCATAAGTCATGTCAAGTTTCCATTTTGTTTGTCAAGTCTCCATCTTGTCCCCATGCCCTGTTATGTAAGCATGTGGGAACCTATGACTCATACCTACCACTCCTATATAACCTGGTTCCTAAATGAATGGGAATGAATGAGGGTGCTGGAGAGATAATGGCAGTAGGTCTAAATATAGCTCCCTCTGAATGACCAAGCCATCAAAACCAATACCTGGACCAATGACCCAACCACTGGAACCACCCTCAGTTTTCAAGAAACAAAAGATGAGGTGAGGCAATCCACCATTGTACCAAGGCTGCACATGCTCAGTAAGAACACCTGGAACCCTCTGGAGCAGGACTGACCTTGCCTGGACAGGACCTCCCCATAGGAGATCAGAGGTAGTCTGCCCCATAAAAAGGGATAGTGAAGACTGACTCCTTGGGACGCCCTCTCCATCTGGATCAGAGCCATGCCACACCACCTATCCACCCAGAGGCCCTGCCAACAACTCCCCTCTGGACAACACCTGCTGGACAAAGACCTCTTTCCAGCCTGGATAGGAGCTATCACCCCCAACCCCCTCTTCAACCAAAGACTTGGACTCTGTTTCTCTTCCCTACCTGGACTCCAAACCTTCCACTGAGTCTCTTTCTCCTGCTGCCATTGTGAGTGCTTGTGTGCGTGTGTGAACCAATAACTTCATGGGGCTGTGTAGAGTGCTGTCTGTTTAATAAACTTGTTATTTTGAAACCCTGAGCTGGATTTTTGTCTGTTTTCTGACTGTTTCCTCCTTGTCACCACTTATATGCCCCCAAACACCCAGCTTTCTGCTTCAGTTTCCAGCCCCAAGCTCCCAGGTTTCTGCCTCAGTTCCTTTCCTGGCTGTCTCTTCTTTGCCACTGGGCTTCTTCCCTTGCACCAGTAACCTCGAGTAACCCTGGGGCCACTTGACCTTAAGTAACCCCAAGCCTCAGTTCCTTAGCCCAGCTTCTCTCTAATATACCAGTTCTAATCTGGAACTCACCAGTGTGTATGTGTAGGTGGGTGGTATGTGTGTGAACTGGTGAATATACATACATACATATATACACATATACATATACACACATACATGTATATCTACACGTGTGTGTGTGTGTGTGTGTGTGTGTGTGATTGTGTGCATGATATATGAATTAGTGGTCCATGTATGTGTATGGAGTGTGTGGGTACTGACAACTGATTGTCTAATTTGTGGTGTGTGTAGTGTGTATGCACTTGAATTGGTGATAGGTATGCATGTGCCTAGGCTGGTTTGGATGTGTATGTGCCTGAGTCAGTAGTGTGTGAATGTGTGTGTGTGTGTATGCACCTAACTGACTTGTGTGTTTGTATATGTGCAATTGTGTTATACCCTCCTGCCTAACAGTGC